TAATCTCATTGCACGATGAATCTATCTATACTACCACCAGTAACCCAATTGCACATGACACACTACCAATAAAAAAAGAGAGGACATGTACTGAAGATGAAGACAATGACAATGCTACCCAAAAGAGAGTTAAGAAGAATTAGAGAAATTTAAACTAAAAGTAGTATTTATTTAGACTATCGTTTTTAGACTAAGTATTTAGACTAGCGTTATTACAAAGTTGCAAACATTTATTTTAGTGACAATATAATCAATCTCTCATATATTATCTTGCATTTATATACTTTAAATTACTGATTTAAATAAACAAATTCAATATTTATTTACCTATGCATGAACATCTCTGATATAATATTGCATTGATATACTTTGAAATACTTATTTAAAAAAATCATTGGGCATTATTCCAAATTCGCGCAAAGCGCGTAAAAGAACTAGTTATTTTTTTAAATACGTTTTAACATATTCGTAGTATATGTTTAACTATTATGCCAACTCTAATTGGGATGGGGTTCGAACCTAAGACCTTTTTTATAGAAATTAATGAATAAGTTAAGAATAATAAATAGTTAATGGAATATTCCGTTACTAAAGTTTATACTAACGGAAGTTAGAGTTATTTAAGGGAAGAAAATAATATAATAGAGGGTAAATAAGGAAAATTATTAAATAATACTAAAATTAAAATAATATGAACCGTTCATTTTAAGAAATAATTACACCAATATTTTTTTGTTCCAGTTAAGGGCCTAACATTATTGGCTCTTATTAGGCTTGTAGATTGTAGTTATGAGTGCCCCCATTCCTTTTGATTTAAAAAAAAAAAACTAAATATATAAATATACACACATGTATATTTGATTATATACACATATATTTATTTATTTCTTTATTATTATTATTATTATTATTATTATTATTATTATTATTATTATTATTATTATTATTATTATTATTATTATTATTATTATTATTATTATTATTATTATTATTATTATTATTATTATTTAAGGATTAGTTAACAAGGGCAAAGTTGGAATAATTCAAGGTAATCTAAGATTACCTTAGAAAACGGGGGTAATCACATTACCTTAAAATATTACCGCCACATCAGCTTTCAGGTAATATAACATTACCATACTCAGATTACCTAGGTAATCTAAGATGACTTGAACCAAACGCCCCCTAAGAATATATATATATATATATATATATATATATATATATATATATATATATATATATATATATATATATATATATATATATTATCAAAAAAACAATTATTGTAATAATTATAAAAAAAATCCAACGAACCATGTTTAATTGTAATTATAATATTATTATGGTAATTAATAATTATTAGCTTAATTACCATAATATATAATTATTAGTCAATTAATTAAATATTCGTGCAATTATTAGGTTAATTACCATAATGATTATATTACATTTTATATAGTAATAGCTTTGAAAATAGTTTGAGCAGTGAGTTGCAAAAGTATGATTTTATTTTTGTTACCCGCATGGGCAGCTCAACTGGTCACAGAGGTGAAACCCTGGAAGAATGACCAGGGATTGAGTCTCATCAGTGGCAGTAGCGTCCTACCTAAATCAATTATTATTACCAAGTATTTGATTCCCATTACTATTCAAATTCTAATGTTTGCAAACATACCCATAGTTTTTTCTTGATACTTAAATTTTAACTAACAAATATTTTGTTTTAAAAAAAATAACAAATATTAAATTTGGATTAATGTTAATGTTAAAATAAAGATCAAAAGGAAATAAAGTGAAGGGTAAAATTGGAAAGAAAGCATAAATAAGCACCACGAATAACACAAAGAACAAATACATGATACAACTTATACCTATTTTTGATGCACATGATATAACTTATACTATTAACACGATGTTCTTATCAGTTAAGGAGTAATATTATTAACTCTTATTAGATTTTATTTTCTTTTAGATTAAATATTCATAATCGTAAACTTTAATGCACAGAAATAATAAAATTGCATATATTCATAAAAACAAAAATTTCCCTAATGTAGCTTACATGTGTGCTCGGAGGAGTTAAAGTGTATTTAAACAAATCGTGATCACACCACTTTAATCTATACTATTATTAAAAACAAAATTATCTTTTTGTGCATTTCCGCCAAACAATAGAAAAGAAAAATTATTGAGGAAACAATAGAAAAGAAAAATAACAAGGATCCATAATTCACTGATTAATACTAATAATGTTAGCAGTAAAAAAGAAAAAATGGAAAAGGAAACGGAATTAACTTACCATGAAACCGAATAATAATAAGGTTACCAGTAAAAAAGAAAAATCCTACCAAAAATTACTAATTAATAATAATAAGGATTTGGAATTAACTTAATAATAATAAAGATCCGGAATTCAAGCAGCCATAATATTCAAGAAAATTCTACAAAAAATTACTAATTAATAATTATAACGATATAGAATTAACTTAATAATAATAAGGATCCGGACTTCAAGCAGGCATAATGTTCAGAAAAATTACTAATTAATGTAAATGGATATGAATATATTATAAGGAAGATTGTGAAAAAAAAAGGGCAAAGAATCGGTAATTTATAATTTTGAATAAAATTACAGACCGTTATTTGACTATTAAAATTACAGTATAAATATTCTCAATGTTAGTATTATTATTATTTTATATTGTATGATTACATTTTGTGTGGTATTAGAATAGCTGACTTAGTTTATTCTATTAGTTAGGATTAGTTAGAGTTTCATTCTAGATATACTCTGTAATCCTATTGTTGTGTAACTAATTGAATCGACTTCTCTAATCTGGTATCAGTCAGGTTATCGGTTCTCTCTCCACCTCCACAGCAAAATTACCCCCTTCTCACAGTGTACTCTCTGGCATGTCAACCAATTCTTCGGAACGCACCATCTCCGCCGCCGGTACTCCCTCGCCGGCCGGTTCCAATCCCTTCGCCGAAGCACACCACTACATTACGATGAAGCTTACGTCCAGAAATTTCCTTTTCTGGCATACGCAACTCGTTCCTTTCCTCTGCGGCCAATAACTCCTTTGTTTCGTGGATGGCAGTCTCCCGTGCCCACCGGAGACACTCACCGCCGCCCCATCATCCGGTGAGTCTTCGACGACTGCAGCTGCGGCGCCGCCCGTCCCCATTTTGGCATACCAAGCATGGGTGAAACAGGATTAGTTGATCCTTTCACTGTTAATTTCCTCCATGTCGGATGAGGTACTCTACCTGGCGCTCGGACGGAACACCTCCGCAGAGATTTGGACCTCCATCACCAATGCGCTTGGCTCCTCCAGTCAAGCACGCTGCCTGAACCTATTGGGGAAGTTCCAGATGCTTCGTCAAGGCAATTCGACCACGGTTGATTACTTGGGGTCGGCAGGAGTGCTTGTCGAGTCGCTTGTCAGTTCCCGGGCCTCTCCCGCGATTTGGCACTGCAGGCTTGGTCACCCGCACAAACATGTTTTGAATAAAGTCCTCCGAAATTGCCCGGTCACTCCCAATAAAATCCAGTCTCTCGAGTCCTGCGCATCCTGTCACCTTAGAAAGTCATCTCGGTTCAAATTAGATAGCGTGCCACATTCTAGCAAAAATGTACTAGACTTGTTATATACTGATATTTGGGGGCCTTCTCCTGTATTGTCAACTAGTGGTTTTCGCTACTTCTGTTTATTTGTAGATGATTACTCCAGGTTCTACTGGTTTTATCCATTAAGGGTAAAATCAAATATATATAAAATTTTCGAGTCGTTTCGTGTATTGGTAGAGCGCCAATTTGCGCGTTCTATCAAGTCTATTTAGTCGGATTTAGGGGGTGAGTATCGCAAGTTGCATACTATTTTTCAATCACTAAGCATAAATCACCGTCAATCCTGTGCCTATACACATGAACAAAACGGCCGAGTAGAGTGCCATAATAGACACATTGTCGAAACTGGGCTTGCTCTACTCGCCGAAGGCAAGGTCCCCCAACAATACTGGGACTACGCCTTTCAAATAGCTACCTGTCTAATCAATTACTTACCCTCGTCAGCCATAAACTATGAAAGTCCATACACTCGCCTATTCAAAGTAACTCCGCCTTATGCTTTCCTTCGTGTCTTCGGGTGCCGGTGTTACCTATATCTACGCCCATATAATAGGCATAAGATTGAGTAACGCTCCACCCCGTGCGTCTTCCTAGGTTATCCTACCTCCTTTAGGGGATACAGATGCATTGACTTGACTAGTGGAAAAACCTATATCTGTCGTCATGTGCAGTTTGACGAATCTGTTTTTCCTTTTTCCACAGACGGCTTCCAACAGGTGTCGGCACCACCGGCTTTACCGTGGGCCACTGCTCCCATTATACCGCCCGGTCCACCAATGGCGCCATCTCCGACTCCAGTGCCGGCTCATTCTGGTGATGAACCCATGCCTCTCGCACGTGATCCACCACAGCTCGCTATAACTCACACGGCCCCAGTTCAGATACGTAAGGCCCGAGCCTAACCTCAAAGCCGGGATCATGTCATGCGCCTTCGTCATATGACTAGGGGTACGAATGAGCCATTTCACGCGTTAAGCGTGTTTGCAGATCCTACTTGTTACTCACAAGCTGTGGGACACGCACACTGGCGTGAGGCCATGGACCCGGAGTTTAATGCGCTACTCCACAATAACACATGGCGGTTGGTCCCTCCATAGCCTAACATGAATATCATTGGTTACAAGTGAGTGTTTCGCACAAAGCGCACCGCTGACAGCTCTATCGAGCGCTACAAAGCTCGGCTGGTTGCCAAGGAGTTCAACCAGGTAGCAGGTGAGGATTTCTTTGACACCTTCAGTCCCGTAGTCAAACCGACCATGGTTCGGATGCTGTTTTTTTTTTTTTTGTTGTGTCCAATAGTTGGACCCTCCGGCAGTTGGACGTTCACAATGCCTTCCTGAACGGTCACCTAGCAGAAATCGTTTACATGAAGCAACCTCCGGGATACGAGGATCCCACTACTCCTGGGCATGTCTGTCATCTACAGCGGTCTCTTTATGGTTTGAAACAGGCTCCTCGGGCCTGGTTCAAACGGCTTCATGACTTTTTGTTTTCTGTAGGGTTCAAGTCGTCCAAAACAGATGTTTCTCTCTTTTATTACACTACAGGGGACTCCCGCGTTTTTCTGTTAGTCTACGTCGATGATATCATTATGATGGGCAATGACGCTAAACTGGTGGCTACTCTTCTGCAACGGCTTTCTACAACCTTCAAGATTCGCGACCTTGGCACACCAGGCTTCTTCTTGGGAATCGAAACTGTTGCGGTAGGCGATGACCTTGTTCTCTCCCAGCGTCGCTATATGACAAACCTACTAGGCCGTTCTGGTATGACGAATTGTAAGCCCCTTGCCACACCTGCGGCTGTCACTAAGGCGATTACTCCGTTTGACCAACTGTTTGAGAATCCGACGCAATATTGGCGCATTGTCGGAGCCTTGCAGTACTTGACTATCACTAGGCCTGATTTGGCATATTCGGTCAATCACTTATGTCAATTTATGCACTTCCCGACGGTCGAACATTGGAGCTTTGTGAAACGTGTGTTGCGCTACATCAAGGGAACCCTCGATTATGGGCTACGTTTCACCCCGTCCGCTTCAACCAGCATTCAGGCATTTTCCGACTCAGACTGGGCCGGTTGTCCGATTGATAGAAAGAGTACAAGTGGGTTCGCGGTCTACCTTGGATCTAACCTCATATCTTGGCTCTCCAAGAAACAGCGCACCGTGGCTCGCTCTTCCACCGAGGCGGAATACAAAGCTTTGGCGGATGTGTCCGCCGAAGTCACCTAGGTGGTTTCTTTACTTCAAGAGCTCGGGTTACACTTTGGTCAGCTGGCGACACTATGGTGTGACAATCTTGGGGCGACATATCTCTGTGCCAATCCTGTTTTTCATGCGCGTACCAAGCATGTGAAAATCGACTACCACTTCGTCCGCGACAAAGTGGCTTCTGGGGACTTCGTGGTCAACTATGTGTCTACTACGGATCAGCTAGCGGATATCTTCACCAAACCATTGTCGTCACCGCGGTTTGCTACTCTGTGAGACAAGCTCAATGTTGTTGCTCTCCAACCTTGTGCTTGAGGGGGTGTATTAGTATTATTATTATTTTATATTGTATGATTACATTTTGTGTGGTATTAGAATAACTGACTTAGTTTATTCTATTAGTTAGGATTAGTTAGAGTTTCATTCTAGATATACTTTGTAATCATATTGTTGTGTAACTAATTGAATCGACTTCTCTAATCCTCAAAAGCAAAGAATAATTCTACCATTGATATATTATCTACTTGTTATTTCTCATTATTGTTTAGTAATGGAGTCTATTTTCGTCTCTACCTTCCACCTATCCCCAGGATAAGGAAAAGCTCTAGAAGGCTCCGGTTGATGCTTTGTTATTTGTCCAGGGAATATCAACGCTCTGCGGTCAACCAAAAAACACTCGGGTGCTTATTCCATGACTCGAAGGTGAATTTCTCCCTAATATAGTTATACTTACTGAATATCAAAATATAAGTGTACCTCAAAATTTTGCAATAACTAACTAGCAAGTAATTAAATTAATCATATTTTGAATATCATCCTAGTAGGGGAAATAAGTCATTTCCTTAAAAGGAAACGGGCGGGCAATGTTGGCTGGGCAACACTAAAATTAGATATGGCGAAGGCTTATGACAGAATAGAATGGGGTTTCCTTAAGGGTGTTCTTATTGCGCTGGGATTTGCTCGCGAGTGGGTGGCTCTTCTCCAGTTGTGTGTGTCTTCAGTTAAATATGACATTCTTGTGAACAGTGAAGCCGTAGGTTTCGTTTTGCCATCTAGAGATATTAGACAATGAGGTCCCCTATTTCCCTATTTATTTATAATATGCGCATAAGGTTTATCTTTGATTTTGCAGCAACAGGAAGCAAGATGTCTTATTCATGGTGTGAGGTTGCAAGGGGTGCACCTTCTGTATCGCACCTTTTTTTTCGCTGATGATTGTCTATTATTCTTTTGGGAAGATGGTAATGAAGCTCAAGAAATTAAGCGGTGCGTAGATCTGTACTGTGTTACATCTGGTCAGCTGTTTAATTATGATATTTCTTTTAGTGCTAATACTATGCCAGGGACGTGTATGCATGCTGTGGGGATTTTTGGTGTTCAGCAAGCCATAGATTTTGGTCACTATCTCGACCATCCCTCATTTATAGGGCGTAATAAGATGGCGGTATTCCGATACGTCGAGCAAAGAATGAGAGACTGCATCAATAATTGGTATAAAAAAATCCTAACAAAGGCGGGTAAGGAGGTTTTATTAAAAAGTGTTGCGCAGGCAATGCCAATTTTTACAATGTCAGTATTCCTTCTTCCCCAAGGGATTTGCGATTCCATTGAGAAAATGATGAATTGGTTTTGGTGGTCTAAGGGTACGAGAAATTCAAGAGGGGTGCATTGGTTAAATTGGTCTAGATTGGCTATTCCAAAATGCAGAGGTGGAATGGGGTTCAAAATAGTTCATGAGTTTAATGTTGCATTACTAGCTATGCAAGGTTGGCAGTTGTTGGTCAATCCTCACTCTCTTGTGACCAGAATTTTGAAAGCCAGATATTACCCGACTGCGAATTTTCTTAAGGCAACCATCGGCCATAACCCTAGTTATATTTGGCAAAGTATTTTAGCAGGACAACATGTGCTTAGAGAGGGGGTAGCTCGTCGCATTGGGGATGGTAAAGACACGCTAGTTTGGAATTCCCCTTGGTTGGCAAATAGTGAAGATTCTTTTGTGAGCACTACTCGTATTGACGAACTATGAGATGCCCGTGTGTTCAACCTCATGGATAATGATGGCAATTGGGATTTGGATCTTCTTCGTGACACCTTTGACGAGCAACATATCCCCAGAATTCGTAATACCCCTATTTCACCCACTCATCCGGACGATTGGTACTAGAAAAGAGACCTAAGATGGTTATATTCGGTCAGGCATGGCTATCGTGTACTCACCTGTAATTTACCGGACCTTCATGCTGATCTACATTTCAAGGAATGGACCAAGTTATGGATGTTGAACCCCCCCCCCCCCCCAAGGTACGTAGTCTGCGGTGGCATTGTGTAAGGAATATTTTGCATGTTTGTGAAGCCTTATGTACTAAGGGTATTGATGTAGTTGGCGCCTGCCCGTTGTGTTGTTAAGCTCTTGAGACTGTTATCATCTTTTTGGTGAATGCACAATCGCGGTCCAGGTATGGAACGCTTTGGGTTTTGCTATTGGTGAACCTTTTGTGGATTTTGTTGTGAAATGTTTATGTGCATTTGATGCTAGCATTGTTGTGTTGATGGCAGCATGTGTTTGGGTAGTTTGGACTGCACGAAATGATTTGGTCTGGAATGCTAAGCCTTGCGACGCTATTGAATTGAAGAGGATGGCCGAATCCCTAGTTGTCTTGTGGCAGCAGGTCTACCAGCAGCCATCTACTTCGCCAACTGGGTTGCTTGCTACTCCTGCCGCATGGAGTCCACCGCCTCATGGTATGTTAAAATGCAATGTTGATGCAGCTTTATTAAACGGAGCAGTAGGGTTTGGGGTTGTTCTTGGGGACCATAATGGCATATTCATTGGAGCTTATTGTGGGCATCTACACTGCGACTGAAATCCGTTGGTGAGTCGATGGCCGTGAAAGAAGCTCTTACATGGCTTAAGGGACATCATGATAACAATATTATTATTATTTAGTTATACTGTTTAAATTTCTGTTCAAGTTTCAATTCTAGTAGTCAGGACTTGTCGTTTACTTGATAATGTTCGCCATGTCAAGCCATGTCAAGATGTTAATGAATCATGTAGCTCATGTGCTTGCACGGGCGACTGGTTCTCCTTTTGTCCATGGGGTTTGGGAGTCTTCCTCGCAGGATTGTATTTCGGAGTTTTTTGATAATTTAATATGATTTTGGTTCATTTTCAAAAAAAAAAAAATTTGCCAACAAAAGGCAAATTCCTTCACCCTGCCCTAGCCCAAAGAATAGTCAAGGGATAATGCGATTGTTAGGACTCAATCTTGTATCCTTGGTCACAAATGATTTATACCGTAGATAAAAGTTCACATTAACAAGATAGACTCATAATATATGTGTTACACCCCGAAAATCCGATCCTATCCTTTAAATAGGATTTATTGGATAATTAATCCTAAGTCATCATTGTAGACTTTCTTATCAATTTCCCAAATTGATAGTCAAAGGACTTAAATTGACCAACTCCTTGGTCAATTGATTTAAGTCAAAGAGGACCTTTGGCTTTGATGGTTGTACCTAACTCTTTGGGGTCTTCCTAAGTTTTTCTAGGGAAAGTAAGGGCATTATAGTCTTTTCCCATTTGCTTGGTCTTGAAGCCTTACCCTGTCAAGCCTAAATCTCATTTCCCCACTTTGGCAAGAAAACCTTTCTCTACCTTCTCTCTAAGAAAACTTGGCTTCTTCTCCAAGCTAAGAAGAATCTCCCCCATCATTGCTAGGAATCATTCCAAGATTTCACCTTTCCATCTCCCAAGCTTAAGGAAGGGTAAGATCTCGGATTAGTTGGTGTTTTTAATTAGATTTACCTAGTCTTTATCTAATATTAGTGTTTTCTTTGGGGTTTTGGTTGTGTAAGAAGACTTGGTTGAAGAGGAGCTTCAAGGATAAGCTTAGGAGTGTAGAAAGGAAGAGTTTCTTGGTCTATAAAGGTAACCCATGCTATACAAAACCTATTTTCTACTTGCTATTGATGATTCTTGACTTCTATTGATGATTCTTGACTTCTATTGATGATTCTTGGTGTTAATGTGAGATTTGATGCATAATCTTGTGATAATGCATGTTTAGAGCTTGTATATAGGCTTCTTAAATGCTATCTTTTGATCTATTCTTGGGTTCAAGTAATTTCCTTTTTGTATGTGAGATTTGGGGTGTTTTGGACTTGAACTTGGCTTTGTTAATGAAATTCCCCGAAGGGAATTATGGAGTGTGCAGGTGTTCCCCGCGAGCGGAACGGCGGGTGGTTGTCCACCCGCCACCCCACCCGCGGGCAGTCCCGCGGGTAGGGACCCACCCACGGGGTACACAGGTGGGATTGTTTTAACACCCCTAAATTTCAAGGTATTTAAAATTCATAAAATAAAGGCTAATCTCTTATTAATTTCTAAACATAGCATAAACTAGATATAGTAGTCGGGGTGCTATGTCATATCTGAGCGGGAGAACTCAGATACACAGGCTAAGCTAACTAACAAAGCATAAATCATAACTACTACCCAAATAAAAATCAAGGCACGCAGGCCATCTTATCCAGGCTAGAACTATCTAAACTAAGTCCACGAATCCACTAGCGCGCTCCGAAGCTACTCACTGTCCTTGAAAAACATTCGGTGTAACAACCGTCAGCGAATAATGCTTGTAACCACTCCAATGCGTTAAGTACAATATAGGTAGATATAAGAAACTCATTTTGAAACTGGAATACATATATACTTACGAGACTCTAGTTTAAATCCAAGATCAAGACTCAAGGCATAATAACAATCTCAATATCATATAATAACCATAGAAACTAACATGCGTCCTAAACATGCAATGCAAGACATAACAGGTAGATAAGCATGCAAATAACGAGTAGGGCAACTAAGGCATTCAATACAATCAATTAGCAAGTAGTCAACAAAGCACACAACTCATCCTCCACCCTTATACCAAGTTCCAACCATATAACTCCCCTCCGTCCTTATATCAGTTCCAACCTATACCTCCAGGCCACCCTTATGTCCCCACCCC